CCACCGTAAACTATTATGGTCGGTCACGACGGTAAATCGGTACCCCTCTAAATACGGTCTAAATTTTCGTATCGCCCAGACTACAGCCAAACACTTTTGTTCGGCGACGGAATATCTTCTCTCGGCGTCCAACAACGCATTCCCGACGTAGTCAGCGACGGCGCGGAACATGTTGGGCCAATAATAAGCGATCGATAGCCTCTGGGTTTTATCGATTCCGAGATGCCCTGCTTGCAGATCGTCATGTGATTCGCGCAGTACTTTCCCCCGCAATTCTCTCGGGACTACTAGTTTCCACTCATCTAAATCCTCCACGATCGCGGACGTAACGGGGCGCGGTCTTCGAACGTACAAGCGGTTCTCCGTCACTCTCCACTCTCCGAGGGCCTTCTTTCCTTCCGATACGTCTCGAAAGCGTGCGCGGTACCAAGGGTCCTCTGTGTCTCGAAAAATCTCCGCCTCTCCCCAGCGCGACTAAAAACGTTTCCACTTCCTCCCCTAGAGCCTCGGTGTCACCCTCGTATGCTCTCGACAGCGCGTCCGGTGCGTGGTTTAGCGCGCCCTTCCTGTACACTACCTCGTAATCATACTCCAACAGCTCTAGCGCCCACCGCGCTAGTCTCCCTGTCGGGTTTCGCAGGTGGTGAAGCCACCGTAAACTATTATGGTCGGTCACGACGGTAAATGAGCCACTTAAGATGCTCCTCGAAAGTCGGGGTGACAACCACGATGTCGTCCAGATACGCGAAAGCGTGAGGCTCCATCTCCGGACCGATTAAACGATCTAACAAACGCTGAAACGTCGCGGGCGCTCCTGTCAGTCCGTATGGCATCCGTACGAAATGATATAGTCTTTTACCCGGGACGCTAAACGCGGTGATTTCATGACTTTCTTTCGCCAGAGGTATTTGAAAGTACGCCTGGCTTAAGTCAATCGTCGAGATGTATCGCGCCGCTCGTAACTTGTCTAATATACCGGTCATATTCGGTAACGGATACGCGTCCTTCTTTGAAACCAATTACTTCCCACGGTAGTGTATTGAAAGCATTTTTGATGTCTAATGACGTGCCTACTACTACTTTGCCCTCTTCAAAGGCGTCTTCCATGTACTCCCGTGCTCTAGATATAGCATCGAGTGTAGATCGTCCTTTTCTAAAGCCGAACTGATTTTCACTTAGATTTGGACCTCTTTCGTTTAGGTGTGCTATTATCCTGGAGGAGATAATCCTTTCGAGGATTTTAGCCTGGTCGTCAAGAAGGCAAATTGGTCGATAGCCTGCAGCCTGATCTTCTGGTTTACCTGGTTTTCTAAGCAGGACTAGCTTGGCTTTCTTCCAAAGACGTGGAAACATCCCAGTCTTGAGGCATTTGGTAAATAGGTTCCTCATTTCCGCCATCATTACATTTGCTGCCAGGGCCCATGCTTTAGCCGGGATATGGAATTTTGAACCTTTTTTTTTTGTGACGCAGGGGAAATGCGTTACGCATCCCCGTCTCCCCCGGGGGAGGGAGGCGGGGTATGTGGGACTCTCTCCTCGGGGCTGCTGCCTCGAGGAGCCTACCCACTAAATATATAATATAATATAAGCTTCAGACTTGGTAATCTGTAGACTTCTCACTGCACTCGATTACTTTTTGTTATACTACTACTTCATTATGACGAAGGAAGTTATATACGTCTGCTAAGACATTGTAATACCATGAGAGATTATATGCTGAAGATGGCTTAAATGAAGCCGAAACGTACATGTAATTGGATAATTTATTGAATATATATTTACTTTTAATTGCGCACGAATTACTGCGATTTAGCTCTTAATTGCCCTTTATTCACTTTATTTTGTTAACTACCCACTAAAACCCCTGCGGGCGAACCTAACCCGAACGTCTGGGGTCCATCCGGGAATTTCACATCTGTAGTACTTCTGGATGGACCCCCATAACTATACGTAATCACGTAACCTAACCGATTATTTACATGAGGGTGGGTAGTCGCCGGCTACCCACCCTCCCTTGCCCTTTGCCCTTTGCCCATCTCGAGGGGGACATGGACCCCCGTCCATGACCCCATAGGCCTTCCCTCGAAGGGCCAGTGGCAGAGCCGCTGACTCGGCCTTCGAGTTCTCTCCTACTTATTCGTATTTTCTGAGTCCGAGGGCCCCGCTATTCGGTGCCCTCGTGTGACTCCTCCTGTCTGCCTCTTTGGCACGTGGGCCGCGGGGAGGGTAAACTAAGTTATAGATGGAGAAGCCCCCTCCCCGCGGTGGCGATGTTCGAGTTTATCAATCATCTGGTCGTTCCGATAATCGGTACGACCGTCCCACCTAACTCGACGTGGTTTGGTATCCCCGGTTCATAGACGCTATCTTTACCCCCCCCCCCTTATTCCTTACTAACTAACCTAAACTAAGTTAACCCCCCGCTATTCGCCAAGGGATACTTTACCCGCGCATTAATCCCTTCTGTTTATTAATCTAGGTCCCGGAGAAGAGCCTCTCTCCACCTATCTCTCTCCGCTTCTTCCTTCTTTTTCATGACTTCCTCGCAGAAGTTTAAAACCCCCTGCTTTCCTTCTTGGTTGCACATTGCTTTTATGATGGCCTTTAACGATAAGTCCACTCCTACTATCCTCCTTAGTTCCGAACGTTCCCCGTCCCACGCCGGACAATAGCCCAGGGTGTGCCTGGCGGAATCGTTCAGTGCATTGCAGTGCCAGCATCCGTTTGTGGCCTCCCTCCCGATCCGACACAGCAACCTCCCGAAGCATCCATGCCCCGTGAGGACCTGCGTCGTCCGGAAGGAGAGGCCCACCTCCGCATGGAGCCATTCCCTTAGCTGTACATTGACTGCTTCGAGGATGTTGTCTTCTCCTATGGTTGTATTCTTTAACCAATCGCTCCATCTTCTTATCATCTTTCTCTTTGAGGCTTCTTTAATCGATTCCACCTCGTTCTTTGTTACATTTCCTCTTTCTTTCAAGGATGTAACCCTCTCGAATATTTCCTCAAAACAAATTGCTTCAATTTCCCACGGTGGGATTCCCGCTAACGCCGAATTCACCGCGTGAGAGGTTGTCCTGTACGCTCTAATGATCCTGCCTGTGATCTTGCGTTGTACTCCCCTCAGAATTTGAGTAGCCTTCTTATTATTTAGTATCTGATACGCCCAAATTGGGGCTCCGTATAGAGCTATGGACTTTATTACGTTGGTATAAAGTTTCCTAGCCCTGATATTCGGTCCTCCTAGGTTTGGTAACATCCTACTTAATGCTAAGGCAGATCCCTCCAGTCTGGGCGCAAGGTCCGTGAAGTGGTCCGTGAATGTCCATTTACTGTCTAGAGTTAGACCTAAATACTTCATTTTTTGGCTAATCCTGATCTCGATTCCTGCGATATTTATTGCGGCGTTCGCAGATTTGCCTCTCGTATGGAAGCCCACTATTTCCGTTTTAGATGGGGCTATTTCTAACCCCATCTCCTCTATCTTTTGGATTACTGCGCCTGAAGAGAGACTTGCTTCCATAGTTGCTTCGTCCCAGTCTTCGCCAGATACCAGGATTAGTGTGTCGTCTGCATAACAAATTATGCACCCTTCTATTTCGTTACTCTCCTTCATGACGTCATCGAACCCGATGTTCCACAGTAGTGGCCCTAATATAGAGCCCTGTGGAACTCCTCTCTGCACGACCCTTTCGCCCATCGTTCCGTCGTTTTTCGGAAAGGAGAGCTTCCTGTCGCTTAGGTAATCCCTTATTGTTCTTCTTAAGTAAAGCGGGACTTTGTGTTTATTCAGCGCTTTCCCTATTATCCTCCATGGCAAAGAGTTAAACGCATTTTTAATATCGAGTGATATTCCGATAACTACTTTCCCTTCCTCAAACGCGGACTCCATGTATGTTCTAGCATACGAGATTGCGTCGATGGTCGATCTGCCTCTCCTAAAACCGAATTGTCTTCGATTGAGGTTCGGTCCCCTGTTCTCTAAGTGCGAGATAATTCGTTCGGAGATTATTCTTTCGAACATCTTCGCCTCGTCATCCAGTAAGCATATGGGACGGTATCCTGCGGCCTGATCGTCCGGTTTGTTATGCTTCCTGAGTAACACGAGTTTGGCCTCTTTCCATTTTCGGAAAACTACCTTTTTTGAGACATGCTGAGAAGGTGTTTCTCAATTCTTTCGCCATGTCAGTTGCCGCTACGTCCCAAGCTTTCGCTGGGACTCCGATTGGCCCGGGGGCTGCATCTTTTTCTTTCATCTTTTTCGCTGAAAGCATAAGCTCCTCTTGTGTCACTCCCAGGTTTTCTCTCCAGGCCATTTCTCCCTCGAATGGTAGCTCGGGTTCCCTCCAGTCGTCTTCTAAATCTCCTGGAAAGAGTCTTCCAAGAACTCTATCCAGTGTTTCACTGTTTAGGGATTCAGTGAAGGGAGGGGTCCACCTTCTGAGTTTCTTCATAACCGCCTTGTACGGCCTGCCCCAAGGATCTTCGTTTAGGGTCAAAACAAACTCTTCCCAGGCCTTCGCTTTCGCCTTCCTGATGGCCTTTCCAAATGTGTCTCTGGCTAACCTAAACTCGTCCATTCTAATTTGGAATTCCTCGTCGTCCTGGTAGGTTCTTCTTCTTAGTCTTCTTAACCTTCGCCGAGCTATAGAGAGGTTCGCCCTTAGTTCGTCCAATTCTGCGGACCACCAAGGCATGGCTTTTTGCAGTCTGGGCTCGCTCTTTGGCATGGCTGTATTGCAGGCATCTACCATCGTGCCTTGCAGTCTTGTAGCCGTCTCTTCTATCTTTTCTCCTATGTCTACTTCAGTCATGCT